TTTCATCTCCAGAGTAATATATGGTCATCTGACTCAAAATGCCCCATGCCAGTCCATCTCATCTCTCCAATGCCTAATATGTCAATATTTATGCGTTCCAGTGTTGTAGAGTCAACTGTTATTGCAAATTATTTTTAATATGGTTTCTCAAGAATTATGTATGTGTTCTAGAATGAATATTTAATAAATCAATGCAGAAAAGGACAGTAGATAAAATTTCCAGAAATTTTGGCATAAATCTATACTTAATTCATCCAAATTGGGAGGGATGTCTCTGGTAGCCTACTGGTAAGGAAATGTGCTGCCAACACAATGGTACATTGTTCTAATCCACAAGCTGCTCTGCAGGAGACATATGGGCAGTCTCCTCCTGTGTGGTTTACTGCCTGTGAAAACATGCTGGAGGGTCAGCTGTGAGTCAATTCTGACTCTCTTGTACATAACAAGTACAACTTCATCTCAATTTCATTTAATATAAATCCTTATATATAAAAGATAGATAATTAGGCTTACTTAATGAAGTTTTGGGTATATTTGAAACAGATAATAAATATGTTCTTGACATAGTATCTTGTATTAAATGTTAATTAGTTGCTCCTATTAATTGTTTTCATTTACTATTTGTACTAACAATCAGGCTCATTTTCCTCCTAATATTTTTTCTTTTCTCTCTCTTTTAGCAACTGATCTAGTGCTAAGAAAAGTTATCAATTTTTCTGATTGTACAGTTTGTCTTGATAAGAGAAATGCTAGTGGTAAAATCGAATTTTACCAAGATCCTTTATTGTATAAATGTTCCTTTAGAACTCGCCTGCATTTTACGTATGATAATCTAAATTACAAGATGCCTTCTGTTATTAAGGTAAGTATCTCTCGTTGTACTGAAGCCATATTTTTTCTGTTATGTTTTTCCTCTTATGTAAGCAGATTTATTTAAAAACTACAAATTAGCATAAGCATATATGTTCTTTTTAAAGATGTATTTTTAATTTTCTTGTATATTTATATAAATCACTTTTTATATTATGTGTTATAGTAGAAATACTTTTTGGGCAGCTTTTTTCTGTCCTTACAGTTTTCTTTTCAGTTTGTCCAACTATTTATTAGTACTTCTATCTTCAGGTAGACAGAAGAGGTAATTTAAAAAAGTATTGTGAACACAGTGGATCAGATACATTTTCATTTCTGTAGTTTTCAAGAGAAACCAGTCTTTGGGAAATGACATTGTGCTGGGAAAGGTAAAGGGGTCGGCTAAAGAGAGAAAGACCCTCAACTGGATGGATTTACCTTAATTCTGAAACTGCCTCAATGTGTCAGAGATAGCGAGGACGGGGCAGGATAGGGCAGCGTGCTGATCTGATATTCAGGGTCACTGATGAGATGTAGTTGAGAGCACCTAACAACAACATTGTAATATTTCTTTTCATCGATTCTATTTATATCCACATCTTATATTTTAATGCATTTTCCATATTATTTACCATTTTAGGGAAATTTATATAATTCCTAAGATTTTTTTTATGTTTTAGTTTATTATTAGGTTTATTTGAAGCACTATACTTTCTTTTATGTATAATTTTAAATCTACATTTTTATTGCTTATGTTAAAAAGCACTCTCTCTAAACCTGCTTTTGTTGATGTTTTTGTTTTTTGAAATACAGATTCACACCTTAGTCGAGAGTTTGAAACTTTCTATCACAGATCAACAACTACCTATGTTTATTCGTATAATGCAACTTGGGATTGCTCTTTACTATGGAGAAATAGGTAGTTTTAAAGATGGAGAAACAGAGGAACCTACTTGTCACAATAAAGATGTGTTAGGAAACATTACAGGTAACTGTAGAAAAAATTTTATTTTACAGCTATTGTTCTAACAAGGTGCTTTAGTGCTATCAACCCAATGAGGGATGGTTCACATTTCTCCAGCTTCTCCTAAGGAGAAATTTGCAGTCTTCTCCTGTGTGATTTTGAGCTCTGAGTTGGTTCCAATTTGAGGACAGTGAGTTTGAAATTAGAAGTTTTTTTTTTTAATTAAATGAGTTTATTAATTAATGATTAGTTACACAATTCATCACACTTTTACTGACACGTTGAATTTGATATTATGGGAAGACCAGAAATAAATAATTTGTGTTCCCTTTCAAAATCTGATAGGAGGGTGGCAAGGCAATGGAAATGTATACTGTATGGTAACGTAATAGAATATTTGATAGAAGTTGGAATGATCAGAAGTAAAAATATAATGAAAGGATGATCAGTTTTGACTAGGAATCAAGCTTGAAACCTGAGAAATATTTTAACAATAGTATGATTATTTTTTGTACATAGAGCCTTAGAGGGACATTTCAAACTTATGGGTAAAGTATTCACTTAAAAAAATGGACCAAGGATTTTAATATACATTTCACCTAAAGAAGATATACCAATGGCCCACAAGCACATGAAAAGATGCTTGAGCATATTAATAATGAGGGAACTAGTTAAATGAGTAGGGACATGATGCTTGGAAAGGCGAAGGATTGGTCAAAGAAAGGAAGACCTTCAACCAGGTGGATTGACCTGGTGACTGCTGCAATGGGCTCTAGTGTGTCAGAAAGTGTGAGGATGGCACAGGATAGGACAGGATTCAGATCTATTGTTCAGAGGGTATCTATGGCTTGCACTTGACTTGATGTCACCTTACAACAAGAAGGAACTGAAAATCAAAGGCATAATATAATACCACTATTATACACAATGAAATAGCTGTGTTGGGGAAAAAAGATATAAAAACAAGCAGTGAGATACAAAAGTACGTCCAATAGCTATGATAATTTCAAAATTTAGTATTTTTTTATTGTATTTTGAGATAGCTCTCACTTTTACTTGTTCTAAGAGCTGATATTTCTGTAGATGTTAGTGTTTAAAGTACTGTTAATAAGACTGTAATTTGCCACCATCATTTATATTTAAAAGAATGGTAAATTTTAAATAATGCAATTCATATTGAATTCATAGAGTTCCTTTAATCTTTGAAGATCTCAGATTAAGGTGTGTTTACAAAGAAAATAGTACCTTAGGAAATTTTGGCCAGTACCAGGGAGATTATTTTTACCCTTACTATACTAGGTCCTTTTCTATGAGAAAAGGTTTAGACTTTCAAAAGCATCTTTCAACAAAGTCTCTTTTATTTTTATTCAAAATTATGTTAACTAAAAAATAGAATTTCTGATTTCTCAGACCTCATTTGGTGATGTTTATCAGTAGATATTCTTCTGTTTTAACAGGAAGGACAAAGAGACCAGAGTCCATTTCTGTAGACCTAATTTGGTTACTGCTTCCCTGGGTTAAGGTGACTTGATGTCCTGTTTTATAACCAAGATGATAGACATTAATGCCCAATTTGACATTCTATTAGAGATAGATAACTTCTTCATTTAGATAATTTTTCATTAGACACTGTATGAACCATGTACAAATATATTTTGTAGATTTATGACTTTTATACTATATATAATATATACATTATAGATATTAATTATATTATATATTATACATTATACATTAAAGGTCTGCTAGTAATAAATTTTAGTTAATTTGATTACTGTTTATTAAGCCTTGCTCTTTCTAGATGAGATAATAATTGACATATGATAAATGGCATATTGTTAACAGCTTTTAAGTATAGGATTTTCCAAAGCTCTTTTGGTAAGGAGTTAGTTACAAAGTTTCGCTAGCAAGAAAACCCTTGAAATCTGCCTGAATGAAGAGTATACTTAAAATAATATGTGTATTTACAGATTTGTTTGTAGAAAATAGCTATATTTGGAGTGGTCAGCTGCTTGAGTTTTTCACTGTGGCCCTCCGGCGCCCCGGAAGCTGCCCCTACTTGGGGGGTCATGATGGGCAGCAAAATGGCGTCCACCAGCAGGGTCGTTCACGTGGCCAAGCCACAGACTCTGTTAATAAAGTTCTCTGAGAGAACTGACAGTGCTAAACTCAATGTATCAGAAGCTCAGATCAGCAGGAATGCCATCACATTCCTCTCACAGCATTCGAAGTGAGGTAAATCACCAGACACTGTGGAAATACTAAAAACATTACCTCAGAAATGCAGAAGGAAACTTATGTCTCAAGAAGAAATGAAGTTTATCCAATGTGGAGGTCCAGAATAATCACGGACAATGTGGCTGCTGTTTGTCACCAGACAAAAGAATTATCTTTACAATAAAGGACTTCCAAAATTACCTATGAGAAATTGTACATTAAGCAACCTTTAGGAAATATGCAGTAACAATACTGAAAGATAGCAAATTTAGGTGGACACTTATATATCCTAATTTAGGTATCTGGGTCAGCTTCACAAACTTACTTGATGGTTTATATACTTTATACTTATTAAAGTATACATCTTTAAATGTTTAAAAAATAACTGTATTTGAATCTGACCATGTGTATTTAATGAATTTTGTAAAGTTAATGCATTTCTCCTCCTTCCTACCCAAATTTCATGATGATGTGCTTCTTTAGTGTATAGTATTAGAAGAATGTTACCAGGTTTTGAATTTGTTTTTATTAAAGTTTCTTTGATGGAAGAACTTAAAAAGATAATTGCATTCTACATCTATAATCTGCCAATTTGTAACCAGTTAATACTTCCCTGCTGTCCTATGCTCATCTGTAGACTAGGAAAGGTAGCATGTATCTTATTCATTATTAAAAATCATCAACAGTTTTGTTATTATGCACAAGTCTCTTCATTACAGTCTTTTGTTTATGATTATCCTTTGGGGTAGTTCTTTTGGGGAATGAATTTGTCTAGGAGCCTTGTCATTCGCTTTTTCAATTGAACACAGCATGAAGTTGAGAACTTTTCTGAAATTATTATAGTATTTTGTTTTGGAGAAAAGTTAGTTAATGAGCATGTTTTATTTTAAGGAGATAGCTTTTTGAAAATAAAGAATGAGTGAAATGTTAAAGTATGGATTTATTTTTATGTATAAAATTTAAAAATCACAGAAACTTGGAAGTATAATAATGCTTATTGGTTTCAAATAATAAGCAATGTGTACTATTGTTATTGTTGTTGTACACTGTCGAGTCAGAACTGACCCAGAGCTGATGGGTTTTCATAGGCAATTAATCACACAGGAGGAGATTGACCATCCTTCTCCCACAATAAATGATAAGTCATACATTCTATGTAGAAAAAAATGTGGGAAGAACATTTTTATGGAATTTTAATATTCTTTTTTTATCATTTTAAGTTAAATTTCTTTGGCTTGATTTATTTAAAATGGCTTTATTTTTATTGCTAGGTGCTGAAGATGAAACTAGAATAGATATGCAATATCCTCCTCAGTACAAAACTCAGGAGTTGTATTCACAGCCAGATGATGAGCAGTCACAGGGCTGGGTATCATGGGCCTGGTCATTTGTGCCTGCAATTGTGAGTTACGATACTGAGGAGGAAGACTACTTCAGAAGTGATCCCGCATCAACCATACATCAGCAAAAGTCACAAACTTTGAAGGATCCTATTGTTTCCATAGGATTTTATTGCACAAAGGCTACTGTAACTTTCAAAGTAAGTTTCGTTCCTCTTGTTGTTTGTATTTTTGTCAACTTTAATGTGTAAATTTGAATTCCTAGAAAGGATGTAGTTTAATTTTTTCTTGTGCTTAGTAGGGGTAAAAGAGTGAGAATCTTTGCTTCATGAATATATGTGCTCTTTATTTTAAGTCTTTGAAATTTCCCTTTTATCTTCTTAAAGACTTACTATTTTTTTTTTCCTGTTGGATTTATGGATAGTTTAGGCCACACTACTAAATCATTCAATTAGCATAAAAGTATATTCTATTAAAGTAGAAATACTAAAAAACCAAGCAAATAAAATCTCCCCTGAATTAATTTGCTCCTCTGGCTTGTAGTCCACCTTTATACACTCCTTTGTAGTATCTTTTAACAGGTATCTGTACATGTTATCTCTTTTCTCTTTCTTTTTACTTCTCAAAACAGTCAGTTCTTATAAAACATCTTTTTCTGTTTCCTAGCAGTACTTTAACATACTTTGGTCTCTATTAAAAGGAACATAAAATTGAATATACATTCAAAAAAGAGTATGTATGTGTACAGGTTAAGAATAATAAATTGAACAATTTCTTACTCTCCTGGCTGTTTTAAGATAGAAATTGCTGCTGTTTTTGGAGTACTTTAGATATTTTCTTTTGCTTATATTTTTTCCTTCTCTTCCCAAAAATATAACCAAAAGTTTATTATGGTTTATTCATACCAGTGCTTTCTGTCATGGAATTAACATACATGCAAAATCCCTGAACAGTCCTGAATTCATCTGCCAAGTATTTATCTGTACTGATGTGATCTGTAGGGAGTTGTGCTGCTAACCAAAGGTAGTACATCTCTGGTGGTTTGAATCTACCATTGCCTCTGAGGTCAAAAGATGGGAAATCTGTCAAGAGCCTTGGAAACTCACTGGAGAATAATCTGTGACTTTCGTACTTGATGGAAATGAGTTGAATTGATGTTACAAGTATTGTTTTTGGATCTAGAATATTACAGTAAACAAGTTAGATAGAAATCTCTTTTTCTGAAGTGTATATTATTGTGAAACAAATAAATAGTTTATAGTATGCCCATTTATGATAAATATTTTGTAGATAAATTAAGGAAAAAGTAATAATGAATGGTGCTACTTGAAGAAAGGAAATGGTGCAGTTTAAAAGAATTTATCATGGAAGGCATTACAATGAGGGCAATAGATATTTAAGTGAAGCCTATGAAAAAGAGAAGCTTTGTAGATAAGTGGGAATAAGCTTTCCAGGAATAGCAAATGTTTTAGTTCAGAAAGAGTAGGGAGGCTAGAGGAAATGGAGTAAAATGAGATAAGTGAAAGTAACGTGATACTAGATTCTAAAACCTAAACATTCACTGCCATCAAGCCAGTTCTGATTGATAGAGACCCTGATCAGTTTCTAAGTTGATAAATTTTTATGAGAGGAGACCGTCCATCTTTCTTCCACAGAGCAGCTGGTGGGTTTGCTAACCTGACTGTTTGCATCCTGACACATTGCACACTATGTTACTAGGGCTTCTTATGAATTCAGATCTGAGAAGTAAAAGAGTCGATCTTAGAATTATTAATGGAATAGCTTTATAGGTAATTTTAGAGACTTTGTCTTTTATTCTGAATGAGACACAAATTTACTGGACAATTTTAAGCGGGGGAATTGTTTGATGAAATGACATTGTTTACACTGGGTCACTGTAGTTGCTGTGCTGAGAATATTTGAGAGGATCAGTAATGTTGAAGTGAGGAGTTCTGGTGGTGCATTATTACAAAGGAAGAGGCACTGCTTAACCTAAAAGCCACATCTCTCTAACAGTTTGAATCCACCAGTGGCTCCGAGGGAGAAAAATAGGCTATGTATGTAATTTCTAACCTTAGCAACCCTCTAGAGGATCAGCTGTGAGTTGGTTCTGACTCCATGGCAATGGGTTTGAGTTTTATTATTTTTGTTTTTGTTTTCAAAGCTGAAGTAAGGATATGAGACAGGATAGCAGTTTCCAAGTGAGAGATGGTGATGGCTTGAAACTGGTTTACTGTGAAAAGTGACTGGATTTGGATTATGGATGGGTTTTCAAAAGTCATGGAGATAGGACTACCTTACAGATTTCTTTGTAAGCTGTGAGTGAGATTAATAGAATACAAGGATGTCTGTTTAACAACTTGAAACATGAAATTAATGTTCCCAGTAGTAAAAAAAGACTGACAGGAGGAAGTTTGAAGTGAAAATGAGTTTTGTTTTTCGAGAAATTTTAGGTGTTCTTGGTATGTTTGAGTAGAGCCATTTGGTATACTGGAATTCAACTGAGAAATTTTTCCTAGATTATAAATTATCATTTTATTAATATAGAAATCAGGCTAAGTTGAAAAAAGAGTGGTTATAGGATCAAGTACTTGAGCACTGTGTTGGTAAAAAGTAAAACCATCAAGAAAAACAGAATAAGTAATGAACAATGTAGACACAAAAAGCAGCAAAATGTTTGCCTTGGTGGCTAAGCGTCATACATGTCTTAAGGAAGAAGTAATAGGTCATTTGTGGGACATTGGTTTTGACAAGGTGGAAATTATTGGTTGTTTGGACCATGGAGAGGAGCACTGGTGACCTAGTAGATAAGACGTTATGCTGCCAACCCAAAAGTTGGGAGTTTGAATCCACCAGCTGCTCTAAGGGAGAAAGATGAACAGCCTTCTCCCTTGGGATTTACACCCTCTAAAAACCTGCTAGGGGTTCAGCTATTATTCAGTTATAAGTAGAGTGGAAATGGAAGAGAGGTATTGATAGCAAAGAGTATAGGATAATTCACTCAAGTAGTTTTATCATAAAGGAGAACCTAGAAATGGGAGGTGACTTATTATTGAGCAAGAGAGTAAAAAGTCGTCTTGAAAAATTTTAAAAATATAGCAATAGTTATAGCAAGCTTCTATGAGTCACTTAATGTTGTTATATGCCATCAAGTTAGAACTAGCTTGTAGCTGACTCTCCAGTAGGTTTTCAGAGGCCGTACATTGCACAGGAGGAGGTTGCTCATCCTTATCCTACAGAACAGCTGTGCATGGGTATCTTTGAGCTGGTAGCACAATTCCTTACCACTAAGCCTCCTAATTACTTAATAGAGAGGAGAAAATTGTTGATGTGGATAAGACTTTGAGGATTATTAGGTATCTTTAAATAGACTAGAGAGGTTAACACCTGTTTTAGAAGTAAAGAGTCTGATGACCTTTGATGGAACAACAGGTAATTAGAGGATAAGCAATGTAGTATCCACATATTTAGTTTGGTAGATGTGGTGGTAGGAATTTTTTGAAGTTGCTCTGGTGTTTTTTGTTTTTGAGATTAAATAGAAAAGTAGGTTATTTGACTGAAGAGTACAGATTGGAAGGCATTGCTTTGGGTAAATTTTCTGAAAGGTATCTCGTTAAAGTATTAAAGAGCAAAGATCTAATTTAAAGAACTAAAGTGCACGTAACCTACAACATGGTATGGAGCTCTGGTGGCATGTGGTAAGGGGTCACACTGTAAACTTTAAGGCACTAAGTTTGGATCCACCAGATGGTCTACAGGAGAAAGGTAGACAGTCACCTCTCAAGCAAAATACAGCCTCTGATAGCCTGCCTGAGGGTCACTAGGAGTTGGTTCTGACTAGATGGCGCATAACAACCATATATGCATGCAAAACCTGGCCTTCCACTGGTTAAGGAAGACTTTAAGAAAAATTGATGCCTTTAAGTTTGTTGATGCAGACTTTCCGAAGAACAAACAAATCTGTCTAGGAAGAATTGCAGCCGGAAAGCTCTTTAGAAGTAGTGTGTTTCTGCAGTGCAATCCCAGACATATGCGGTTCAAATCCACCAGATGCTCTTCTGGAGAAGGAGGGGCAATCTCCTTCCGTACCAGTCAGATCCAATTTGATGGTACACACAAAAATAATAAAATAAAAAAAAAAAAGAAGAAGTAGTGTGTTTCACATGCCTGGATGTGTTATCAAGAGGAACCAGTCCCTAGCAGAGGATATCATATTTGATAAGGTAGAGGATTAATGAAAAAAGAAGACCTTCATTGAGATGGATTGATGCTGTGGTTGCAACAATAGGTGCAAACAGCGATGATTGTTAAGATGGTAGAGACAGGTGTTTGTTGTGTTGTAGATTTTGTTACTGAGTTGAAAACAACTTAATAACCCCTGAAGACAAGGCTGAACTTTTATGAGGAAGAATGTGGCATCAGGATTGGAGAAAGACTCATCAACATCCTGCATTATGTAGATGACACAACCTTGCTTGCCAAAACTGAGAAGGACCTGTGGAAGGTCAAGGACTGTAGTCTGCAATATGGATTGGAGGTCAGCTTGAAAAAGATTCTCACCCCAAAGCCAATTGGCAGCACCATGATAGATGGAGAAGAAATTGAGGTTGTTAACTATTTAAGTTTGCTCGGCTCCACAATCAACACTTGGCAGGAGCAATCAGGAAATCAAAAGATAAATTGCATTAGGAAAATCTCCTTTCAGGGACCTCTCCAAAGTGCTAAAGAGCAATGACGTCAGTCTAGAGACTAAGGTGTACCTGATTGAGGGCATAGTCTTCACAGTTACTTGATTTGAATCAGAGAGCTGGACTGTGATTAAGGATGCCAAAAGAAGAATCAGTGCTTTTGAGTTGTGGTGTTGGATAAGAGTCTTCAACATACCAAGGATTGCCAAGAGAACAAACAAGTCTGCCTTGGAGAGGAAGAAATCAAACTGCTCCTTGGAGGCTAGGATTTTTTTTCAAGAGAAAGAAACTAAGAGAGCTCTGGTGGCCTAGTGGCAAGAAGCTGCACTGCAATCCCAGAGGCGCGTGGTCCAAATCCATCCGATGCTTTTCTGGAGAAGGAGGGGCAATCTCCTCCTGTACCAGTCAGATCTGATTAGACGGTGCACACATACAACAATAATAAAATAAAAAAAAAGAAAGAAACTGAGGTTTATTAGACATAACAGACTATGAACGGGTCAGGACAGACTGACCTCTAGGAGTTCTTAAAGTCCAAGTTCTGTAAACAAGGAAAGAAAGGAAAAATCCCCGAGAAAGTCAGAGCTTCCGTTGCAGAACTCTGGCCAGCATGAGAAGCGGCAGTAAGGTTGCTGTCCAGGCTCCAGGTGCCCCTGTTTTAAGAACTGCCTTCACCTTCTGCTCCTTCAGACTGCCCAGTGACTCCGAGGCAAGGATTTTTAATCTCTGTCTCACATACTTTGGGCCCATGGCCAAGAGGGACTAGTCCTTGGAGAAGGACATATGCTTGGAAGAGTGGAGGAACACTGCAGGAGAGAAAGACCTCAGATGAAGTGGACTGACACAGTAACTAGGATAATGGGAGTAGTAACTAGAGATTGTAAGACTGGCTCAGGATAGGTGAGGCTTCAGAGATGCAGGTGACTTGATGGCATGTAACAACAACAATATTCATTAAAAGGTTTTCTAGTTAAGAGTCATTTAGTGTTGTTATCGAAGCTTAGAAAAACTTTAAATATGTGGAAAATAAGTTTAAAGTATCAGTTTATGGTTATTTTAAAAATGTTGGCATAAAATTAAATATTAAATATGGTATGATAAGAATGAATATATTAGCTGTATTATTTTAAAACCATCACTTATTTTTATTTCTTCTGGAGCATGTTAATAATTTTTAGTCTCTGATTCATCTTGATGAATCTGCAAAATTAAAATGAATAAAATGTGTAATTTTTTAAAAAAGAAAAACAAACCCCCAAAAGTGTTGTCAGTTATTGTTTGATGATCGGAATGCCTTTAACCTAATTTTGTAAAAAAGTTAAAAATTACTTAGTATTGTCTTTTCTTAATATTGTACTCATAAATTATCGTGGTACATTTTTGTTAACTTGATCACAAAAAATGTATTGAAACATGTCAGTTTGAATAGGCAGCTAGCTGTGTACAAAACCTTTGTATTTAGTAGACTGTCTTGGCAATATGTGTCATTGGTTTATACATCTTTTTAAAATTTTGAAATATTTACATTTCTCTAAGAAAAATATGTTGATATTTTGGAGGAAAACATTAGAAGTTATTGTTCGGCTTACATTTAAAGAAAGTATGGGATTAATTTGTGGTTCATATTTTGGTCAGAAAATAAGGTCATGTTTCTACATTAGCATTCTGAACAGTTGATATCGATCCAACAAAAATCATGCCAAATTAAGTATAGCATTTTTGTAATGTTCAAAATTATTCTTGTAATGTTTCAGTTCTTTTAATCAATTAATTGCTTTTTCTCTACAATAATTGTTGACAGCTGAAGGATGATCAAGTTTAAATGATAGAATTTTTCTTAAGCGTTTTAAATTAAATAATTATTCTTTGAAACAATTGTTTTTGCAACATTGGGCATACCAACTTTAAAAACACCCAAGATATAAAGTCTTAAATTTAGTGGAAAATGTACAAAGTACTCTTACTAGCAAAAGAATTATTAGTTTATTTTTTAGTATAAATTGCCTGAAATTGTAACTTCTTAGTTCAATAATTTTTGTTTGGCTAATGTTTCCACACACACACACACACACACACACACACACACACGTACGTTACTTAATGGGTTCTGAATAGTTGTGTTCCTGTTCACAGCAGTACACTATTGGTCCTATGCTGTCCTTGCAGTCCTGCTATATTTAAGCACTATGTTTCTGCTTTTGTGTCAGTCCTTCTTGTTGAAGGTATTCCTATTTTTCAGTGACCCTCTCTTTGACCAAGCATGATGTCTGTCTTCAAGAACTGATTCAAGAACATGTCAGAAGTATGTGAGATGAAGTTTTGTTATCTGGCCTTGCAAGGAGCATTCTGACTGCACTTATTCCAGGACAGTTTGTTCTTTTAGTAGTACATGACAGTGAATATTCTTCATTAATATCACAATTCGAAGAAAAGTTCTTCTATCTTCCATATTTATTGTCCAGTTTTTCACTCATATGTGACTGTTGGAAAAAAAATTGACCTATATATAACTAAACATGAAGATTTTTGACTTTACACTTAAGTTTTAAAAATACACCTATTTCATAAGTTGCTTTTGTTAGGTGATGTTGAGTTGAGCGCAACTCATCGCAGCCCTTTGAACAAAAAATCTGATTCCTGCCATGTCCTCTGCCATCCTCATCATCTTTGACACACTTGAACCCATTGCTGTAGCCACTGTGTAACTCCATCTCATTTAGAGTCATCTTCTCTTTTGCGGACCTTCTTCCTTTTACACACAATGTCCTTTTGTAAGGCATAGACCCTCCTAACAACATGCCCAGAGTGTGACATGAAGCTTCATCATCCTTGCCTCTAATTAGAACTCTTTGCACTTTCTCCAAGACATATTTTTTTTTAAGGCCGTGGGATATATAATACTCTTTTCCAACATCACAATTCAAAGGCATCACTTCTTCTGTCATTCTTGTTAATGCCCAGCTCTCAGTTGAATAGCAAGTGATAGGAAAGACCATGTCCCAAACCACATACACCTTAGTCTTTAACCTGACACCATTGCTTCTCTTTACTTTGGAGAGAGGTTTCAGATAGCATATTTTCCCAGTGCAACACGTCTTTTGATTTTCTTAACTGCTGGTACCAAGGATATTAATCAACTATCCATGTAAGATGAAATTATTGGCAGTTTCAATCTTTTCTCCATCAATCATGCTGTTGACTTTTGGCCCAGTAGTAAGGGTTTTTTGTGTTTTTGATACTAAAAGGTAATCCTTATTGAAAGCTGAAGTTTGATTTTCTATAACAAGTGTTTCAAGTCTTCCTCTTTTCAGTAAGCAAAGTTGTTTCATCTGCATAATGTAGGTTGTTGATGAGTCTGTCTCTGATCCTGATGCCACATTCTTCTTCAGACCAAGAAGCTATTGTCTGAACCAACCAAGGGAACACTGTGTGATTTAAAATCAGGAAAGATGTGCATCAGGGTTTTATCCTTTCTCCATAAGTATCCAATCTGTAATTTGAGAAAATCACTTGAGAAGCTCAGTTTTATGAATATGAATTTGGCATTTCTAATTTCACAAAAGTAAGGGTAAAGTCATTGTGAAATTTAGGCAGAGTACTTTTGTTTTTTTCATTAACAGACTTTGTTTTGGAATAAATTTAGATTCATAGAAAAGCTGTAAAGTTAATAGAGTTCACATAAATTATCTAGTTTCTGACTATGCTTATGTGTATGTTTCTGTTTTTATGTTTGGCTTTTAGGCAGTTCAGGTTCATTTAGTATTCTTTGTGAACACCGTAAGTTACAGGCATTAAATCCATTTTGAATCTTATTTCTTGTCCAACATATGTATTGCAGTTGACAATACTATTGCCTGGGTCAGGTACATCTTATGCTAAAAGTGAGTTTAGACCAACCTTTGTTTTTCTTTTTAATGTTGACAAAGGACCTCTGGTGGAGTAGTCTTTCGGGAGGTATGCTGGTTATTTAAAGGCAGTGCATCTGTGGACTTTTGAGTCTACCAGCAGCACGACTGGGCAAAGATGGGCAGTCTCCTCCCAGGGAATTTACAGCCCCTGAAAACCTGCTAGAGGGTCAGTTATTAGTCAGTTCTGACTTGATGGCAATGAATTTTACTGTGGATGATGTGTTGCAGCTGGATTCTTTTGCCTGTTTTTCTGCTTATTATATTTAGTCGGTCTTAAAATTGGCTTCATCATAATGCATTCTATTGCCATTTAATAGTAATTTTTAGTTAATAAACTTATTACATTGCTTCTTAGCTTACTGAAATGCAAGCTGAAAGCAGTTATTATAGCCCACAGAAAGTGAAGTCCAAAGAAGTATTGTGTTGGGAGCAAGAAGGAACCACTATTGAGGTAATTATAAAATATTGAATCTATATATTTATATACATATATATACACATATACACACACATGATGTATGTGTGTATACACATGTGTAATAGAAAACAATATGTGGAGTGGTCCTTAAAAAGTAATAGTTTTCAACTCATTTTAAAAATTTTAAATTATTGATATTTGTATTTTACATTTTAGTAAATTGAAATAATTACTTTGTTGTTGTTGGTAAGTGCCATCGAGTCATAGATGACTCATAGCAACCCTGTGAATGAAAGACCTGAACACTGTATAACTTTTCACTGTTTGTCTGTATTCATAGAGTTTCTAGAGGCAAGCTATTTTGGAAGTGGATGCCACTCTTGTTTCCAAGCTTGTTTTAATCAGGGAGCTCCACCAAACACTGTCCACCTTGGGTAACCATTATTGCACTTGACACATCAGTGTCACAGTGTTTAGCATCACAGCAACCATGAGTTACCTCCGTACAGCAAAAGGACAGACCAGTGCTATACCACTTAGATGAATGTTTGACTGAAAACAATTAAAACCAGGCCTGACGGCTGCAGATTAAAATCACCCACCTTTGGCTTGGTAGCATAACTTTCTATCCACTAGGCCAACAAAGCTCTCTCTCTGTTGTTGTTAAGTGCTGTTGAGTTGTAGATGACTCATAACAACCCTATGAATGAAGACCTCAATGCTTGTATAACTTTAGCAAGTATTATAATATCCAACATTCTTTAAGTTTTTAAATTGTGTTCATTCATGTGTTCATGTGATGTTTCGCGTTTCTCTATTGATGTTGAAGGCATGCTTATCTGTGAAGATACAAAATTTCATGACAATGGCGAGTGAGATTTTTTTTTTAATAAACTTCATGATCTAAGAAGAGTAAATTTGCAAAGGCCAGATTTTGAAATGTTTGACCACCTTAGAAAATCTACAAAGAAAACTTATATTTTTATTAAAGCAGAGTAAATTCTTGGTTTCATTTTCTTTTCTCTTACAGGCCCTTATGATGGGAGAGCCTTTCTTTGATTGCCAGATTGGTTTTGTAGGTTGTCGAGCCATGTGCCTTAAAGCAATTATGGGTATTAAAGATTTTGAAGAAAATATGAATAGAAGTGAAACAGTAAGAAAAAGTCTTTTTTTTTTGCTACTGTTGTTGATTGAGATAAATGAGTAGAAATGAAACGTCTCTGTTAAGTGAAGCATATTTTTCCTCTTTTTTGGATGGGTCATGTCTATTAAAGTGCTTATTGTAGTGTGTAAAAGAGAAAATATTTTAGACATAGATTAGATATAATGCTTTTAAGGTCTGTACTTTTTTCCTTATGATAAATTATAAATCTCAAGGGAATATAGAAAGTTGGTAGATTCTAACACCTGAACAGTTAGTTTATTCTGCTTTCCAAGTAAAAAATGTTTTTCCTTTCTTGTTTATAACAACCAGTTTGAGTTCCTTTTAAATTTATTAAAATATTTTTTGGCAAAATAGGCAATGGAAATAGGCAAAGACAATATTCCTTGTATTTTTTTATAGAACCTTATGTTGTAATGATTTCTTTTGACTTAAAAAAACCAAGAAAACTGTGTCTTTATTTTCTTGAAACATCTGATGAATTTTTCCACCTCTGTTAACACTTTGTATTTGTTTTTAGGAAGCCTGTTTCTTCATTTGTGGTGAAAATTTGAGTACAAAAGGTTTGACATACCTAACAAATTCGTTGTTTGATTACCGAAGTCCAGAAAATAATGGTACTCGTGCAGAATTTATCTTAGATGCTACTCATCATAAGGTCAGAATATATATTTGAGCTAATTATAGTCTTTGGATGAGCACATTGTGTGAATACTTGTGATTGCCATCTCTCCTTCCAAATTATATCTTTGAATGCTAATTTTTTTAATAGAAATATGTAGAATGGTTTTGTCTAGCTTTTTTGTTTGAAGAGCTCTGTTGGGGAGTGACAGACTATATCTTATATAGACAAAATTTGTTTCTACCAGACTTTAAGATGCTTGCGGAGGGAACATGTAGAATTATCTCTGTTAATATTGTTAATTTTTGGAATGTACAATTGATGAGGAGATGGATAGTTGAATTTTTTATTTTTATTGTTTTTAATATTGCCTGACTTTTTAATGGAATGTAATTATGTACTTCATCATAAAGCAAATCATTCCAAAAAAAGGTAGTAAAAGAGTAGTGTAATAGACTATTTTGGCTTTAAGCCTTTTTTTTTTAGGTTTTAATTTCAAAGTTGAAAGTAAAGAATTTTATGTTGACCTTCCTCGTTAACATATGTTTTGAATATTTTAGTATACGTTGAGTGTTTGAACTGTTTGATGTAAGTGTAGTGAAATATTTAAGGATTAACTTTATTTGAAAGTATACATTATTAGACAGTTTTGTGATAATGAATAAAGGTCAAGAGTGTACTATCTACCCTATTATAGGTATTCATTAACCAGACTTTGATAAAGTGGTCAAAATCTTCTGTAGAATTACAGATGTCCTTTTGTGTGGTCTATAATAGGGGGTAACATCACCTTTCTTAGATGTGAATTCTTTGGATAACCTCTGTTTTTTGTTTTGGTAATTCTTTGAGTTAATACACATTTAAGAATATATGTCTGATTCTTAACCTATGGGATTTAAACTCAAAGTCTCTTCTTTACACAATGTTTGCTTTGCTTTGTTGACAGGAGACATACACTGAGATAGCCGGAATGCAAAGGTTTGGGGCTTTTTACATGGATTACCTGTATACGATGGAAAACACTAGTGTCAAAGGTACTGGTTTCTTCCATTATGTTTATCTAACAGAAACAGAACTTCTTTAGAATTGTTTGGTCCTTGACTGGTTATACCCTGCTACTCAAATTTACCTTCTGATATTTTTATAAATGGTTTGTCTTCAAGATCATAGTAGAATTTTCTTAGATTTTTTTTGTCAGTTTTAATCCTTTCTTTGTGTAGATGATTGAAAAGATATTTTGTATGACTAAGTAGAATTAGTTTTCCTGTATATGGAAGATAAACGTGCAGGGAGTCCTTGGATAATAAACTTTTGACTTAACAGACAATTCCTACTTATCCTTTAATGTAAGGCTTCTGATCATTTCTGTCATGGCTGACAAACACAGTAGGAAGAGGTTCGAATTTTTTACAGTTTAGGTAATTTTTCCTGCTAACTAGAAGAGGCCCAATGAGTCCTTTCAGGAATCTGATGCAAAGCACAGGGTTCTTGACAGATTGTAGAGAGGTGGTGTATGTTGAAAGTAGTGAAGTCAGCCCCCGTTTTTGAGCATTATGCCACTGTTTTTGAGCAGTGCACAGCAATCTTTGAAGTACTGTTTTTAGTTATGCAAATCTGTCCTCACTTTGAAGTGATTAAACCAACCTCCTATTCACAACAAATTCTTCATCACAATCACCTTCACTTTCTGCACATGCAGCTTTTAAATTACTGGAAAGGTTCCAGCTTTTTTATTGCACTAAATAAGAACCATATGCACTTGATCGTATTGACTTAGAAATTCTTGAAGACCCAATTAAAAATGAATCCATCTCCTTTGTAACTAGGGAAGCTTTTTTTGTAGCATCGTATTTTATATTACATTAAATTATCAAACAGAATCAAATGTTTCTTTTTCTGTATTACATAGATTTGAAAGTTACATAAATTGAAAAAAGTTAAGAAAACCAATTTATTTTAGGCAAAAATTAGAGAGAAATTATCTCACGCTATTTGGCATAAGGGAGTTTCAATGGTCTAGTGAGTAAGAAGCTGTCCTGTCAACCAAAAGGCACTTGGTTCGACTCTACCCTCTGATGGGCAGGCTCCTCCCATGCAGTTTGCAGCCTCTGGAGAGGAAAAACACACTCCAGAGTCAACTATGAATTGATTCTGACTTGACAGCACATAATAACATAATACAGTCTTTTCTTATGTGATATGTGCATGTGTGTTTGTGTGTGTAGTGTTATTATTTTATTATGCTAGTAAGCAAGCAGGTGTTATTGTCTAAAATTAAACTGGTGGATATTTTATGTCCATATCTGTATTTGATGTTAGGCTTTTTTCCAGTCTTTTTGCATATTGCTTAATTAGTGGAAATAGATTTATATTCTTTTTTGCTTAATTATATTTTTAAAAGTGAATAACGAAGATAAAATTATTTTAAAGAAGTTTCTGGTGTTTAGTTATTTTTTAATTTCTATTTTATTATTTTGTGTGTGTGTGTGTACCGTCAAACCGGATCTGACAGGTACAGGAGGAGATTGCCCCTCCTTCTCCAGCAGAGCATCTGGTGGATTTGAACCGCATATCTCTGGGATTGCAGTGCAGCTTCTTGCCACTAGGCCACCAGAGCTCCCCTTAACTAGTTATTTTAATGTATGGTTATAATACAGCATGCTGAGGTTAGAGTTCTGTCACAGTCTCCTCCCCTCACCCCTCTCCATTTTGAATGATTATACATCAGCACATGAAGGCTGTAGCTTTTCTCTGTCGCTAGGCTTGACTCCACATTGAGGCGACAGCTCTTCCACAGTAGTATTTTGAGTGCCTTAAAAGGAGTCTTCCAGCACTGTAGCAGACAGGGTTTTATTGTTATTAAGGAGATATTTTTTCATTGGCCCATTTATAAAATTTTTAAAGTATACACCTAGATCCCTCTTCCTAGTGTCTTGGTCTGGAAACTGCTGAAACCTGTTCACTATGGATAGTTGAACCCTGCTGGTATTCAGAATATGTAGCTTCCAGTATCACAGAAACACACAAGCCATCAGTATTTAGATTGATGACTATGCTCAAACTTTGCCATGATGGTGAGAGTTATGCAGGGCTAGATAGTGTTTTGTTCTGTTGTATGCAGAGTTGCTGTGAGTCAGAACCAACGTGATGGCTTTTACCACCAGCACCATCACCCCCTCCACTACCATCACCACCGCCACTACCTCCACCCCTCCACCTCCACTACCATCACCACCGCCACTACCTCCACCCCTCCACCTCCACTACCATCACCACCTCCTTCACAATCACCATTACCACCACCATCACCACCAACATCACTATCATCACCACCATCACCACTACCACCACCACCACCACGTTAAGTATAGTAGAATGAACTCTAAGAATTCTAGATAATAAAGTGAATACTTTTGTCTGTGAGGCTGTAGACTTTATGCAGCAATAAGGGTTTGATGATTGATAATTTTTGCTAAATGAACACAGAACAATTATTTTGTTTCTCTTCCTTTATTGATGTTGTCATTGAGTAACCTTTGGGTTCACGTCATTCGTCTCTTGAAGTAATCTCACTCTTATCAATTTAAGAATTATTTTTCAACTTAAGTATTATTGATATGTTGAACATGCTAGATAATGCAAATTGGTTGGATTTGTCTGTTAACCCAAAAGATTGGTCCAAATCATGGTTGTTCCATAATATACAGTGGAATGGGAATCTGCTTCTATAAAAATAATAGGCAGGGAAGCTCTTTGGGGCAATTCCCATTCTGCTCTATATGCAGTTACTATGACTTAATGTTGACTTATCGGCAGTAAGGGAACTCTGGTGGTGTAGTAAGGAGTTGTGTTGCCAACCCAAAGGCATGCAGATCAAGTCCACCAGCTTCTTCATGGAAGAAAGATGGTCATTCGCCCTTTGTGCAGTTTTACATCTGAAAGCCCACTGGTGGATCAGCTGTGAGTCACTTCTGACTTGGTAACACACAGCAACAACAACAACATGGGCAATAGTTTTAGTTTTGTTTGGTCATTTATTGATTATGTCTATTTTGCTTCTTTGTAGTTGTAGTCAAAACTTCTCCTTTGTGGTTCAGACTTAAAATACCCAATACATTCTTGACATTCTACTTGTATTTACATAAATTTTCTCTGTTTAAGATGAATTATTTATATCCCGTTGACTATCAAGTATTGTAATTTATTAGTAGTAAAATGCAGTTTTCTCCAAAGCTTGCCTTTGTAGTTCAGGTAGAACTGTTGGATGCAAGATACTATGGAATAATTTTCTAAGAGATACCTATTTGTTTTTATAGTACTTTTCACAGCATTAAGTAGATGAACAATTTTTTTTAAAAAAATAAAATTTTAATTGTGTAGAGAAAAGTATAGATTAAATGAGCATGTATAAACTGAGCGTCTTGACAAGTGGTTTCAGAGCATTAGACTAAAAGCTAAAGGGTAACAAAAGAATATTATTAAAATGGATAAAATTGATGCTTGAAATATTAATAGGACATATGGCTTGTAGGTTCTGCAAATCAACAAGACTTTTCTTCAGGAAAAAGTGAAGATTTGGGAACGATTCAAGAGAAGTCCACCAAAAACCTTGTTATAGGGCCTCTTGATTTTCGCTTGGACAGCAGTGCTATACATAGAATTTTGAAAATGATTGTTTGCGCCTCAGAACATGAATATGAACCATATAACAGGTTAAAACCAGGTATGTTTTTGGTTTGATTTATAATCTATTACTATTGATTTGAGTGATTATATAATCTATTTTTTTGTAATTTTTTAAATTGTCTTGTTTATTTTGCTTATCTGTAAGGACTTTTATGTATTTGCTTGTTAATTTAGATAATAAACTAGTTTGAGTTATGTGAGACATTGAAAGTTAAAAAAAATCTTTGTATAGTACTTTGCCAGTTTTTGTCACATCTTTTTGCTTCTGGTGTATACTTGGGGAGTCTGACTAACTTTTTACCTTAATCGAGTCTCAAGTATCAGGTAGGAAGATAAGTTATAATACATACACAATTAACATTTTGGAAAATTTAGTACCAGCAAAAACAATTTGCTTTATAATTGTATATATTTCTATTTAGTGTGGAGATATGTTCATCAGACTTTCATAAAATAAAGAATACATCCATGTTTTTAAGTGCAGTAAATAAATTTTTAGTTATAGTTTAACATAACAACATACTGAAGGAAATATCATGGTTAAGACTTAACCAATATGATTAGCCTGTAATTTGAACTCTGACGACTTCTTACTGATCTTAGGGAATTGAATCACTATCTCTGATCCTCCTTTTCCCACTATTATTATGACAATGATGGCTAATTATTTCCCCAATACCTAGTTTATTCTTATTTTACACTAATAGAAACTCATACAGTAATAGATACAATACATCATGGTGGTGTTGGTGGTCTTTACCATTGAGTCGGAACTGATACATGGCTGACCCTCCAACGGGTTTTCACAGGCAGTTATTGCACAGGAGAAGATTGCCCAGCCTTCTTTCTTGGAGCAGCTGGCTGATTTGAACTGCATGCCTTTGGGATTGCAGCACAGATTTTTAACACCAGGCCACCAAAGCTCCATAATACATAATACATCATAGGTACAGTCATAATAACTGGCTTCTGGCTACACAGATGAGAGTAGTAGTTAAGGAACTTTTCATCCGTGATTTTAAAAGGAAAACAACATGACTTTCTGTTTTTCCTTCTGTCTGGCTAGAATGCAGAGCTGGACTCTGAGATGAAAGTTGTATGGTGAGAATGCCAGAGCAACAAGATTGAAAGAACCTAGATCTTCAGTACTGTGACTCTGAATCTCTCAGACTCAAATTCTATGAAAGAGAAGGAAGTTACTAGTTTATTTTTGTGGTTTATTTTTTAAACACTTTTGTTATTTTGATTTTTTTTAAACAGCTACCTAAATGTTATTGTTACATTACAGTAAACCAAAGGACAATCTATCTAACAGTACTGCATGCAGTGCTCAGTGCTTAATAAGTACACACATGTTCAGGCATTATTGGCGGCACCTTACTTGAATGCTTGTTTTAGGCCAGACACTATTGTTAATGCGAGGACAGTAGTGCAAGGAAGACATGCAAAACTCTGCCTTTATGAAGATTACGCATATATCCTAGTTGTTGTTATGTGCCATTGAGTTGCCTGCGACTCATGGTAACCCTATATACAATAGCCCTAAACCCTGCTTTATCCCCTGCCAATTTTACTGTCTCCTACACACCTATCCGCATTTCCCCAGTCACTGAATTAATCGACCTCATCGAGGGTCTTTCTCTCCTGTGCTGTCCCTCCGCTCTCCCAAGCATGACGTCCCTCTCCAAGGACTGATCCAGCCTTGCAACATGTCCAAATTATGTCTGATGAAGCTTCAGAATCCTTGCCTCCAAGAAGTAGCCTGGCTTCATCCTATCCAGGATGAACTTGTTTGTTCTCCTAGCAGTCCGTGGTATATTCATTACTCTTCTGTAGTACCACAGCTCAAAAGCATCAATTCTTCTATCATCCCTACCTATTGTCTAGCTTTCTGATGCATAGCAAGTAATTGCAAAGACCATGTCCTGTATCAGGTGTACCTTAGTCTCCAGACTGACATCGTTGCACTTTTGTTTCTGACAGCTGACTTTTCCAGTGCAGTTCATCTTTTAATTTCCTGGCTCCTGGTACCAAGAGTATATATCCTAGTAGTGTGGACAAAAAAGAAACATGTAAATAGATGATAGAATTTCAGATGCTGATAAGTACTTAGAGGGGAAAAAACTCCCCAAACAAACCACAAAACAAGTGATAAAGAGCGAGTTATTTTTGTTATAGAGATTAAAAGTAATGTTCGAAGATTTTTTTTTAGGTAGTCTGGCCATTAAATGATGTAAGGGAGTAAGCAGTTCAATTACCAGTGAAAAGAGGGATTTAAATAGTCATGCGCAGAAGATTTCAAGTGGAATGATCTTGACAGATTCTGGGAATAAAGCAAGGCTAGTATAGGTGAAGTATAGTAAGTGTTGGTTAAGTCAGTCAGGAATAAATCAGACCTTAAAGAACTAAATTGGATTTTATTCATTGTGATGGGAAATCATTAGAAGGCTTTGAGTCACAAAGTTATTAGCTTATTAATGTTAAAAAAATCAGAATTACTTATTCATTTAAAAAAATGCATACTTCTCTATACTCTTTTATGTGTACATGGTGTATTAAGTCCTCATTAATATAACTTGTGTACCTTCATGTGTCCACTGCTGTAGTCAAGAAACCAGATGGTTCTATTACACAGTTGTCTCTTGTTTCTCATTTATAAGCATGCCTACCTGCCTCCCACTCTCCTCACCCTGGGCCCTGGAAATATGTTTTCTGTGTCTAAAATACTGTAATTTAAAAATACTGTATAAATGTAATCGTTAAGTATTTGTCTATTTGAGCAAGTTAATACATATATAAATACGTGATGGGGGTGGTTTCTGTTGAATAATATTCTATGCTGAAGGTGTACTGTAGTTCATTTAACCATATGTCATTTGAAGGACATCTATTGATAACCAGTTTTTCACATCTTCACAGTATTTAGTATTGTCCCTGTTTTAAATTTAGCTAGATGTGTAATTTTACTAGCCATCTAAACTCCTATTTTGATTTTGACTAGTATTTCCACAGAGGCTTATAAGATTGAGCATTTTTTTCCTACAAAGAAGTTTTCTTCTTTCTTTTCTTTTTTGTAATTTTATAACATGTTATTTTATTTTTTTCTTATTGTGTATGGTCGAATCGGATCTGACTGGCACAGGAGGAGATTGCCCTTCCTTCTCAAGCAGAGCATCTGGTGGATTTGAACCAAGTGCCTTTGGGACTGCAGTGCAGATTCATGCCACTAGACCAACAGAGCTCCCTAATATTGAGCATTTTTTATAAACATATTTGTACCTATATATATTTTTTCTCCCACTTGTAATTGGATTGCTTTTCCTAATCATTTTGTCATATTTTATATTTTACAGTTAAGTCTTTGATGTGTTTTAGTGACTTGTGTGAGATGTGAGGTTTATCTGCCTGTGGAGTTTAGGGATGGTGAAGGAGACGAAGACCTTCAACCAGGTGGACTGACACAGTGACTGCAGCATTGGGCTCGTGTGTCAGAGATCATGAGGATGACATAGGATAGGTCAGGGTTCAGATCTGTTGTCCATAGGATCGCTATGAGGCGTACTTGACTCAGCAGCATTGAACATCATCTTTCCTCCATTAAATTACATTTGGCCCTTTGTCCAATATCATTTGAGCATATTTGTGTGGTTCTGTTTATGATTTGTCTGTTCTGTGTCTGTTAGATCTTTGATCTGCCCGTCTGCCAACAGTCTACTGACTTTATTCCTATAGCAGTCTGTTGTTGGGTGCTGTCAAGTTGATTTTACCTGCTAGCAACCTTCTGTGACAGAATAGAAGTGCCTCCTAGGGTTTCTGAGTGCTGTCTTTATGGGAACAGATTCCCAAGTCTTTCTTCTGCAGACGTGCTGGGTGTGCCCTCTCTATCCCAGTCTTTTGATTAGTAGTTGAGTGCTTAACTGGTGTGCCACCAGGCGTCCTTTTAGCTATAAAAGTAAACTTTTAGAGAAATTACTAATTTTGATATTGCTTGGATTTTATTAGAATATTACATTAGTGTTGTGCTGTTAGGTGCCCCTGAGTTGACTGTGATTCATAGAGACCCTGTGGAAAACAGGTCTTAATCTTACCCGTCCTTGCACTCCACCATGGGCTTAGTGTTAAGGTCACTATCTCAGTCCTTCTTGATGAGATTCCCCGCCCTTTCCTAGCATAATGTTTTCCCAAGGACTGGCCCCTCCTGACAATATGCCCCAAATACGTGAGATGATGTTTCACTGCCTCTGAGGAACAACCTGGTTGCACTTCCTTCAAGACAGTCTCGCTTGTTCCTTTTGCAGTCCATGGGATTTGATTAGGACTCAGGACTCATTGGCAGCACCACAATTCAAAGGCAGTGATTCTTCTTCTATCATCTTTATTCATTGTCCAACTTTCAGATGCATATGAAGCAATTGAAAATACTATGAGTTGGATTGTTGTTGTTGTTGATTGCCTTAGAGTAGAGCATGACTCACAGCGACCCTATGAACAAAAGGCTTGAAGTTCCTCTACAACTATTGACATTTATTAAAGTTCATAGGGTTTTTGGAGGTATGTTATTTAGGAAGTGGATATAGGTTGGATTAGGTACACCTTATTCTTTAATTTGACATTATTGCTCTTCCATACTCTGATTGGTCCTTGACAGCAGATTTTTATCAATGCAACATGTTTTTTGACTGCTACTACCATGGGTGTTGATTATTGATTCAAGTAAAATGAAATCATTGACAACATCAACTTTATCTCTGTTTATCATGATGCTGCTTATTGATTTAGTATTGAGGATTTATATTTTTTGATCTTGATAAATCTCTCTTTCTAATGGATCATTAGTTTCCCTGTTCTCCTATGAACAGTGACTTAATTTGGTTTTCTCCTATAAAAGAACAAAGGGGTGAGGGAGAGACTAGATTTACTGAGAGCTCTGGAGGCATGCTCCCTAGATAGTTACACTGCTAACCCAAAGGCTGCACCTCTCTGCCAGTTTGAATCCATCTGTTTGTCTCTCTGTGGGAGAAAGATGGACAGTCTTTT